TGGACAGAGTCCTTCTTTTTCCCCTGGCTGGCTTCTTTTCAGAGATGCCTAGCCCCCTCCTATGGGTATGGATGTGTGTTCCTTCAAAACAGCACAAAATGCTCCTTTATGCAGTGGGTAGGGATGAAGCTGAAGGTCTGTGCACTGATAGACTGGGATGAGGAGAATGCTCATGTAACCCTCAAGAGTGATCTTACCTGATGTAGTCTTAAATAGGTCTTCTTTCACCTGGTCAGGTGGTAAACTCACACATCAGATCAGGAAGATGGAAACCACTTTGTAAATTCAAGTGGCTTATGTGAACTATCCTTTAACCTCCGAGAGTTTGTGTAGGTTAAGAGGACAAGTAGTCCAACTAAGTAAGAAGACTTTTAGTCCCATCTACCAGTAGATAGCCTTCTAATACACTGTTACTTCTACAGGCTCTGTGTGCTGATGAGCCTGGATTAAGATGACAATGAGACGATGTGATGAAGCATCAATAGGTTTTTTCTTCTTTGGAATTTTTGTTGTTAAAGAATTATCATATTTGAATGATATTTTACAAATATCCTTAATGGCTTTGTCCTGCGCCAGAAACTAATCAAAACATACTAGTCATTGAATTGCAGAACTCACATTCAAAAGTAGTCTACACTGACATGGACTTGATACAGACAAATTAGACAAATACACTGGAAAGAACTGATCTACAAATATAACTCATCTATAATGCAAAACAGCTAAAAAAACTAATGATAATAATGACTGCTAGCATTTACTGAGTGCTTCCTACATTTCCATATTATTCTAACCTCTTGTGTCATTTCATTCCATATTCACTGCCACCCTATGAGGCAAGCAGTGAAAGTATTCAGTGCCCTGTATACCACTTGTTGGGGCTGGAAGGTTGGACCACACCAGCTCTCTATTTAACCACAGAATTAGTGGAGAAAATGATATTTTGGTCAGTGTTGATGGGCTTAGAGAATGGTGTGCCAGACCCAGAGATGTGAAAAGCATGAGAGCCAGAAAATGTGATCCATGAATTGCCATGACTGAAAAGAATGAGAAATACTGTGAGATAAGAAAAACTTAGCAACATAGGGAGCTCAACTATGCCTTGAGATAAAGATAAGCAAGAAGGATCCATGGGGAAAGTGATAGGGATTCATCATTTGGACTAAATCAGAAAAGAGACCAGCAAGACAACAAGGGAAGACAGAAATATGGCTGGTGTGCTTGCTAGGGCTGCTGGAGATGAGGAGTTCAGGTTTTCGTGGTCAGGTCGGGGGAACCAAATCCTAGGCATAGATGTAACTGATCGGATGGAAAAGAATAGACACAGGGATATAGAGAGACAGAACTAGCAGGCTAACATGACAGATTGGATGTGGGTGTGGGAAAATACCGAAAAAAGAAGATGGCTCCAAGGAAAAACTGGAGAGAGGGACTTTGATGTCTGCAGAAATATGTCCCTAGAGCTGTCCTTTCTCTGTCCACTACTCTTGTTAATCTGGTCCCATACCCACAGCAACCACCCAAATTTTCAACCTGTCCTAGCATCTTTTTCTATATAAGCTGATCCTTTCATTGCTAGCATTTCTCAGCTGTTCTTTCCCTGCCCAATGTTATTTACCTCAAACCCTAACATCCAAGGGTCATTCAGCCAGATTCCACCCTCTACAGAAGGGACACAGATCTTAAGGCCAAGAATGGCTCAGATGGCACAGAGTTCACAGTAGGAGAAATTTGCAACCCAAGAGACCCAAATTATCTCAGCAGTGTCTGCAGAATCACACAGTCCATCTAGTAGGGACCAGAGAAACAAGAGACCAAGAGGCTTGTGGTTGGCTGAATAACTATCCCTAAAAATATCCACGTCCTGGTCCATAGAGTCTGTGATTGTTATCTTACTTGGCAAATAGGACTTTGCAAACGTGATTAAATTAGGGATATGGAAATGGGGAGATTATCCTGGATTATCCTGATCAGCCCTAAACGTAATCACGTGTCCTTACATGAGAGAGAAAGAGAGAGATTTGAGTCCGGAAGAGAAGTCAGTGTGACGAGAGAGCAGAAATCGGAGTGATGCCACCACAAGTCACAGAAGGTTGGCAGCCATTGGAAGCTGAAAGAGGCAAGGACCGATTCTTCCCTGGAGCCTCCGGAAGAAACCAGCCCTGCCGACATCTTGATTTTAGACTCCTGATGCTCAATGTGGACTTCTGGCCTCCAGTAGCACAAAAGAATAAATTTTTGTTGTTCTAGCAAATTGCTACTGCAACCATAAGAAACTAATATTAGGATCTTTTCTCAATTGTCTGAGAGAGACAGATAAATCCAATTATTAAAGTAAAAAAAAACACTCCTCTAGCCATGTCAGCTCTCTAACATTGATCCGAGGGGAAGACAATCTTCAAGTTTTCCTCGGGAACGCCAAGTAATATATCCAGGTGTCTCTTTCCAACAGGGCCCTGAACATTTTTAATCTCACACGCTTTAATTCCTATCTGTCCTTTGAGACAGCAGAAGACTTACTTCCTTTCCAATCTTTCCTTACATCTATAAAATGAGTTGCTCTCTCCTTTGCATTCCCATGGCGTGAGAACACTGAGCACCCATCACAGCTTATTCATTATCGACATACCAGTACCAGACAGATGAGCTCCTCGAGGATGGGGACTCAGTATCCTCCTTCTCAGCAAAAGCGCTTGCTGTGTGTTGGGAATTGAAGGGGCAGCTCTAATTGATACGAAGGCATGAGCCTTTCTCCTCTCCCCCCATGCCCACATCCCACACCCCACTTTTATTTCTTACCCTCCCCCATTTTAAAAATCAAGTTCATATGCCGCATGGACATCTTTAAGTTAAATGGAAAACTATTTCCTTAAATGTAGCTATAATATTCACACTACACTAAAAAATGAGTAACTGCAGTGACGGCATGTTAGGTTAAACCAAAAGGATTGACAATTCTGTCCTTTCGAAAACCTCTTCTAAGGCTGAGTTTTGTTCCAGATGAAATTCGATCCTCTGGTCATAACAATCCCAACTCGCTGCCCCTTATATTCCCTAGCAGTTCGATCTTAGTCTGATATATAGATCTAGGTATAAACAAGTAAATAAATAAACACGTAGGTATAGATGCTGTATATTAGCTCTGCGTCCTGCATCTAGTACATATAGTCGCATGAGGCATAGATGCTGTATATGGGTGGATGTATTACTGTATCAAGATTAAATAATGAAGAAAGCATGGTTTACTTTAGTGTTCTGTCACTTACTTGTTGCATGACCTTAGATAAATTCTTCAAAAAGACGTTCAGTTTCTACTACTGTAAAATGGGGATAAATAGCTACATTGCAAGGCTTTATTAGAACTATCAAGCATTTGTCAAAGAGGCTGGCATATAGTGAGTGTTCACTAAATGGTATCTATTATTAATATCCCCCCTTAAATGTCTCCTATTTCCTTTAGAGTTTTGTTTCTATAACAACACTACCTTATGTATGTCCTCAATACAAATATGATACTGTGTGAGGTCATTAAGAAGTTGAGTAGATAAGCCAGCGTCTTTGATCCCTCCCAGCACCCCTGACTCAACTGGACACCTACCCAATGAGATTCAGCCCTGCTTTCAACTTTTCTCTGAGTCGTGTTAGATCTAATCTTCCCCACCAACGTTCTGATTAGTAATAGCTTATTTGCCTCACATTATAAATTATTCAAAAGTGCCTAATACTTTACACCTTATCCTCTAGAAATTTAAACGTGGAAAGGGCCAGGGATGGGACAGACTACTTTACAGGACTCATCAAAAACTAGAGGATCCACGTGGGTGAACACAAAAGACAAAAACCTAAGGCGGAGCTGAGGCTGAACACTGAGCCACTGTGTGCTGCCTTCCTCCTCAGCCCCCTGCCTGCCAACAGGCTGGGCTGGGCCAGGCCCCGGATCTTTCCGATATAGAATCTAGAGAAGGGGATGAGAGGGACTGAACAGATTGAGAAGGAACCTGTAAGGCAAAGCGAGAGGTTTCCTGATCTACCTGATAAAGGGCTCAGGCAGGGTGGGGCAGGAGGAAGAAACCCTCTTGGACTGAGCAGCAGGGAAGGTTTGCAGTTTATTATGGGAAAGGCTGCAGGGCGCGCGAGAATTGAAGAGAAGAAGCCAGTGTAGAATCAGATCCCCTTGAAAGTTCTTTAAAAGATGCAGGTTAAAAATGGATTTCTTTTTTATTTATATTTTGACAGCAATTGAGCTTCTCCAACTTGGCCTCCTTAAGGAAACAAACCCCTGGTTTATTAGGGTTACATAAGAAAGCAGAAAAATGCATTAATTAGTACTCTGTGCAAGAAGAGGTGTTCAAGAACCTCATGGGCTCCAACCCTCTCATTCCACAACACTGTGCCAGCAACCAGGGTGGACCCCGCGGAGTTCATCTCTTTCAAGGTCAATATCCTGACCTGGCCCTCTTAGCATTAAACCTAGGTTCCTGATTTAATTGTGTAGTTCCAAGTTCTTAGTCACAGCCTTGTGTCCTAACTATAGCCCTTATATTGCATTCAAGTCTGACTCTGGGCTGCTTTTCAAAACTGACCTCTGGCTTCCTTGCCTCTGACTGGCTCTATCCTTGTGCTTTCAACTCTCAGGATTGATCTCCATGAGGTCCCATGATTCTTCCTCAGGCTGAGTTTACCCTGGCCCTGAGGTGTTCAGATCATGTGGGTGTCTGAATTAATCAAGGAGGACCTCATGGAGGAGAGAGAATCTCATCAACTCTTTGAATGAGGAATTGGAAATTTTAAAGAGAGATTAGGACACAACTTTAAGACAGTTTCATCAGGGGCCGGCCTGGTGGCGCAAAGGTTAAGTTTGCACATTCCGCTTTGGCAGTCTGGGGTTCGCTGTTTCAGATCCTGGGTGTGGACATGGCACTGCTTGGCAAGCCACACTATGGTAGGCGTCCTACATATAAAGTAGAGCAAGATGGGCATGGATGTTAGCTCAGGGCCAGTCTTCCTCAGCAAAAAGAGGAGGATTGGCAGCAGATGTTAGCTCAGGGCTAATCTTCCTCAAAAAAAAAGAGATAGTATTGTTAATCTGAGTTTGAGTTTATGTGGGTGCTTAGAGGTTGGACTGAATGGAGAATGGGCTCTGTGCAAACTTGCCTTAAAATGAAAGTGAAAGCCACTGAGGAGGAAACACTAGAAAGAATCCCATTCTGGTCTCTTGGGAAGAGTTTCTTTTCCTCCATTGATACACATTCCACTTCTCTTTGGAAATTTTGCTCCTAGGCTAAGAGAGCAATAGTGAGCCCCACTTTCCTCCACAATCATAACCAGCAAGTGATTAATTAAGCCAAGAGCTGGATTGTCTTTGGTCTGGCTGAAAGAGATAGCGGGCTGGAGAAAATGCAGCAGCTGTCTCCATTTTTCTACAGAACTCCTGCTGGAACAATTTTTTCCCTTTTTATTTAAAATTTTTGCCAAAATGCTGCTGCTCTGCCTGCCCATCCTTTAGCCAGGCATTTTGTGTGGGAGTGATTGAAGTGGGCAATTAGATTCTCCGCTTAGCTCCTCTTCATTTCCCTTTGGTAGACATTTATTTCTTCATGGTGCAATAAAAAAGATTTCTGAATGGGGGAAAAGCACTCATTTCATTTTTTCCTATTTGGATTCAGGATAGATCATAGAGATGCGTGTTTTCTGATACACTGATGATTTCTGAGAGGAAAACAGAAGGAACATTTTGATTAGCCAACATGAGACAGAAAAATACGAATATTCCCTTAGTCTTCTGTCCACCTTCTGGGGCCACTGGCACCCTTAAACCTGCTGCCCCGTGTTCTTCACAAGAGAAACCATGAATGTTCGAAATCCCATGTTGCTAAATATCTTAATTATAGGCTTTCTACATTGAACTCTCAGCTGAATGTAAATGCCACATCAAAGTATTCAACCATTCATCCCCAACTTTGTCAAAAATTATGCCAAAATGTAAATTGTCTCTACCCCAACCACGGGTGCAGAAGTGCCAAGTCAATGCCCCCTCCCCCCAAACTCTACGTTATCCCACCTCGTCTCACTACATCCACCAAGAACTCACTCCTCTTAATTGCTAGAACCCTTAATGAGGATGATGTGCTTTTGAGTGATTACCTCCAAACGCTGCCCAGCTTTCCAAAGGAGAGGAGTGGAACTTGCTCATCCCAACCCCCAAAGCACGCTGACATCTGAAATCACACTTCACAGATTTCAAAAGCTTTCTTCTTGAGGCCAAAGTGTATTTCATGAGTTTGCTCTGGCTTTGTTGCCCTTCATTTCCCAAGTCTTCTTGGGGCACCAGCAAATGAGACCTACATTTAAATCCAATAAACGGATATTTCCATCTTAAATCACTAGGGCCAATTTAATGATTCACAGAGGAGAGGCATTGTTGCTTATCAGTTGAAGTTCCTGTGTAGAGTTGTGCAGTCATGCCACCCTCCACTTCAGAAGAGAATCACATGAAGAAGAAGGTGATCTGGCTAAGTCTTCACATCGTCATTTCAGCACCCTGTGCTCCCTGTATGCTCACACTGGTCAATATCCACATCCCCGTGCTCAGTACTCTCTCAACGGCCCATTGGAGGCACCTGATTGAAAGTCATCACTGTAGCCTACATGGAGAGGGCAGTGCTCAGTTGCATGGAAACATCCCTCAGGTTCTCTGAGGCTGAAAGTACTGCTCATGGAATACTAAAAATACACATTAATAAGGAACTTTACTTTCTTTCGGGGAAGTCAGCATTTTACAAATGAAATTACGCATAGACTATTGTGAATTTTTAATCTCAGCCTGACTCCCTCCTATTACCACTCTACCCGCAGACTGCTCCATCTTCTAACATTAGTCCCTCTGTGTTTAGGGACTGTAAACCAATTTAAATATAAGCCCAAACTGAACAAGTGCTAGGGTAAATCTGCTGCCAAAAGTATTCTGAAACAAATAGCACCAAACACAATATTTCATCTGGAAGACTTTTGATAAATGTGAATTGAATCAGCAAACATTTTAAAATAAATGAATATTAATGATTTTTGCTTCCATCTGTGATTTGGGTTATCTGTTGTATTAGATTATTTTCACCATTTCTCTCATCCATTGGCTAGGTAATTGAAAACGTACTGCAATCTGAGTTGCCCTAAAAGCATACAAAATGGGAATCAGAATGTCAGGAAGGAAAATAGATTATCTGCTTCACAAAATCTGTGTTATCTTACAGGGCACTCTGTTTTATGTTCACATGAAAGGTTAGATAACCCTACAGGGCAATCAACCATAATATTCAGAATGTCCTGTATGTTTCAGTGGTTCTAATAAAAAAAAAAAGGTAAAAAGGAAATAACATTTATTAAATGCCTACAGTGTGCCTTTGCTTTCACATACATTATCTCACTTAATGCTCAACCCAACCCTGGGAAGTATATAGTATTATTTCCATTTTCAAAATAAATGAACTCAGACTCAGAAAAGTTAAATAAATGAAGGGGCCTTCTAACAATAGCCCCGAAAAAGGCAAAGCTGGCTATACTCAGTGTTGGTGGAAATTATGTGCACACAGACCACACGTGCCCACCAGAGTTCCCAGTAATATTGCCTTATTGAGAGTTTCATAGAGCCAGGCACCGTTCTCAGTGGTTTATATGGATTTGCTCATGAAGTAGGTACTGTATCATTTCCCATTTTACCTGTGAGGAAATGCAGGGACAGAAGTTAAAACTTGTCCCAAATCACACAGCTAGTAAGTAGTAAGATCTGAGATATAAGCCCAGGAAGTCTAGCTCCAGCACGTGCGTTCTTAAACACTGTGTGATAGAGCTCCTCAAAAAGTCCACAAGAAAGAAATGACTGTCTGTACAGATGGAACTTGAGCAAACCCATCAGAAATAAGGCTGGCCCAGTTTTACCGATTCTGTGCACCAGTCAATGATCTTTGGGGTCTGTGTCCCTTTCGTCTCTCTCTCTCTCTCTCACTTATGGGCTCTAGAGACCGGTACTGTCCACCAGAACTTTCTACATTGATGGAAATGTTCTACATCTGCTGCAGTGGCCATACATGCCTATTGAGCAACTTGATATGTTGTTAGTGCAACTGAGGAGCCGAATTTTTAACTTTATTTGATCTTAACTAATTTCCATTTAAGTAGTCACATGTGGCTAGTGGCCGTATTGACTGAAGAGAGCAACTGTAGAGACCACAGAAATAATAACGGCTATGGGAAAGCCAACATTTGTTGAGCGTCTATTAGCTCATTCAAGCCTCAGAACAGCTCTCTGTGGTAAAGACTATAATCATCCCCACTTACAGATTGAGGAAACTTATTTTACAGAGCTCTTTGGCTTGCCCAATGCCATGCAGCACGTGAGCGGGACAGGTAGGAATAGAAATTATGGGTTGGAAAAATTGATCTAAGAAAAAAAATAAGAAGCAAAGATCCTTTGGCCATGAAAGTAATTTTCAAGGGCTAAGGCAATGTCTGCTTTGCTCACTATTTTATCCCACAGCCTAGCTCTAAGTAGTAGACGCTCCATAAAAACTCTTTGAATGAAAGAGTCAATAAACACATAGTTAGATTTTTAGTCTATTATACAGAGCACTGTAGCCAATTGTCCTTCGTCTTTGCTAAGAACAGCCTGGGAGGTTTGGATAAGATGAAAAAGCTTCCTGAGACTGAAATATGTTTCTGAAGGATATTAAAATTTATATTCTTAAAGTATGTAAAAATAAGATCTCTCCTGATCAAAATGCAATGCATTTGATATGTTCCCACTTACAGAATAAGGGGTTGATTAAGCTCACCCCTCATCCCTTTGAGATAATCATTCATTCTTAAATGTAAAAGACCCTGTCCCAGCACATAAAGAAATGGCAAACATTTCCGGAACAAAAGCAATTTCTGAAAAGAAATTCTTGCCAAACATATTTCACTCAGAGAGTGAGTCACAAAGAGGACACATTTGTTCCCTAATTACAGGTGTATTGATTAAGAAGGTTACAGCAAATCATTTTGGGGTTATTCAAAACTGTACAAATTTTACAATTTTTTTGGTTTAATTTATAAAGCCATTTGGACCAAGAACATTCATTGTCTCCATCTAGTTTTAATGCGAGCTTTCCACACGCTTTGTGATCTTCAAATAATTACATGGTCATTTACTAACACTGATTTGGGAAAGGTAATGGATGCTTTAAAGGAAATGTGAATAGTAAGGCACAACTACCAGAGCCAGCATCTTCTAAGTGAAGGTGTTACAGGCATCTTCCATCTCACTGGTCTGTGATGCTCTCTAGAGCAGGAATCACACTTGTCCTGATTGTAATTATATCCTCAGGGCTGGCATGGTACCTCCAAGGAGTAGAGCTTCAACAAAATTTGTTGGCTGAATGAATGAATTCCAAGATGGCTAAACACATTATATTTTTATGAGTTTTTTTAAGTAAGAAATCTGAGTCCAGGGTAAATTAAAATTTTGTCCTCAGCCACCAAACAGGACAATAACAGACTACTAAGTATAAAAAGGAATATAATCTCTGGCAACAATCCCACATTAGCTTTGAAATGTGCCCTTCTTTGGGAATCTTCTGAATCAGCCAAGCTTGAGTCAGGAAACAGCACTTCAGGTATTTTGATGACTTTACTATTGGATATGCATTTCACCGGTAATAGAAAAGCCAAGGAGGCTCTCAGAGGGGCAGCCAAGAGACTAGAAAAGCCAAGAGGGGTACAGGAAGAAGACAGTGTTTCCAGAGCCAAGGAGCTGGGCCGCCTGGAGGAAGCCGCAAGGACAGTAGGCCTACCTGGCAGGACCTGGAGCCATGGAGAAGACTCAGCAGCTACTGCTGCAAATGCTGCTCTGAGCAGAGAGATAGGAGAGAGAGACTGCGATTCAGCCCCTCACCTGGTCCTTCGGTGATCGGCCGTGCCTCCTCACCAGCCTCCTTGGAAGCCAGGAGAAATGGGAGTCTTGGAAATATAGCTCCCTGAATGACAATGCAGGGCAGAGAAGGGCAGAAAATGCATCTGAGAGAAAATAGGCAAACAGCCCACACACCTTCTCTTATGCCATCTGACAGAGTTAGCTTCTCCCTCTTATGTTCCCTTACAGCACATTAGACAGCAAATTATAATAAAACTCCTCATATTACACTGTAAGGCTTTGTTTATACATCCTCCTCAACTTACATCTCTTGGTATCCCCAGCACTAGTAATGGGGACATTGCAGTTTTTGAATAAAAGATTTCTGAATGAATAAATAAATAAATGATTGCTTTCGTTCAATTTCAACAAATGTTTATTGAGCACTTACGTTGGGCCATGATGTTCTGGTTGATACTACATAGGTCATCTCATTCATAGAAGGTTCTGAAAGGCCTACCAACCTCCCACGCTTTCCTTGTCCCAAACTGTCAAATCTCACCAATGAAATCTGTGATGCGATGACCCATCAGTGAAGATAGTCAGCTTATTTCCACGGTATGAACATTAAAACTTGACATGCATTAAGCCTGACATGCTACACATCAGGTGTTACCCTCAGTGCTGTCTGGTTACACAGGGGAGAAATCCTGCACCTGTCCTCAGGGGGCGCCTAACCCACCAGGGGCACAGAGGGACCATCGAGAGATCATTTTGATGCCTTTGCTGAGTTAGAGTTATGCATAGGATGCTGTAGAAAACGAGATGGCACTTAACCCAGCCTGGGAATTCAGGGAAGCTTCTGGAATCTTGAAAGGCGAGAGAGATGGAGTCAGGTAAAGAGCAAAAGGGACTGGCAGGAGCACAGGCAGAGCTGTAAAATCGATTTCTGCAAGTTGTTCAGTATGACTAGAGATGAAGTGTGGGCACTGAGGCTGGGATTAGTCACAAAAAGCACGTAAACACTTAGTCTGCAGACAATGGGAAGACACTGAAGAGATGCTCATGTCACGTGGCTCACGCTGGCTGCAGCATGGAAGGGAGATTTAAGGTGAATGAGACTGAATGCAGCTAAAGAGTTATACGTTTCCTACAGAAACAGGCAGACAAATACCCAAAGCCCATATCTAAAAATGTGTTCATGTCAGCCTCACTTCTAATAATGCAAACCTGAAAACTAACTAAATGCCCATGTTTTGAAGGTTTTTTATGTCAAAAACTGATTTCAGGTTTTCATAATCTTATGTGAAAGTGTGATTTCTTATTTTTACGTGTGCGTGTCTTCTACACTTCTCTTGTAACAGACTCACGAGGATGTATTCAACTTCCACAGAGCCCCAGGTGCTGGATGAGAAAGCCAAATCCCGGAGCTGTGAGAGCCCAGCAATCTGCCCAGCACCTCGCAAGGCCTGGGGCAGCTCACGGGATGACACTTGCAGCCTAGAAACTTCTAGCCTTCTAGGGTTTTCTCTAGCCTGAGAACTATGACTATTTTTCCCTGAGCTTTGTAACATTTGCTTTCTTACATGTGGGGTTATGTCTGATTATACTTAATCTTCCTTCTTTCATTATAATAATATCTTAATGATGTGGTCATTTTCTCCTAAGTTTTCACTAATTTCCTGTTTAATCAGAAGTAAGTTCTTTCCTTATTTCCAGGTAATAGGAATTAATTCCACGGTCCCAGTTGCACTACTC